GTGAGAGAAAGAGGCGAAATCTAATTAAAGATTTTGTTGAGTATCATATTTGATACATGAGGCTTTTATGGCTCATCTAGTGAGAATAAGGAGGGAAAAAGAGCTCAGTTTTATTCAGAGACTCGAACTGAGCATAGCAGATACTTACATAAAATTATATAAATACCATTCGTCACTACATCTCCAACAATATGTCTTGGTAAGATGAGATCCAAATGATCCAAACATGATCAATGATGACTGAGGGATGAACAAAGTTCCTCAAAAGCCTCTTGATCAGATTTGAGACTCACTGATTTTTCTAAGAAATTATTGATGGAGAATCAAGTAAAGCTGAGCTGCTTCAGTCCAGTAAGTGTTCATCTGGAAATATGAATAAACTTATTCTGACGTTTACTTGATAAAAATCAGTCAAGATTTCAGCAGAAAGACACGTGAAGCGTGAGCTGAAGCTGGATGTTTGTACAATTACACTAAAAGAGCTTTTACTGGATAACAAGTGTTGTGTGCAACAGGTTTATTAACAGCAGAGTTTTGCTCGTTTAGAGGTCAGTGTGGTTTAAACAGCAGCGCTTTCGGCCGATTCTCCGAATGTAAGGGCTTTATTTGTGAGCTCAGCAGAATGAAAGGCTGAATCACACACACTTCACGGTACTTTGAGCTCCACGTGTGAATCACCTTCAGTGACCCAGACGTGCTGATCTTCTCCCGTCCGCTCCGGCCGAGGCTTGACTCACCGAAAACAACCCAGTCTGCCCAGTCTGGCTGTGTGTCATGTAAGGAAAGCTCATGTGGGGATCTTAAAGCTGCTGGCGCGGGGCTGGAGCGAGTTGGTGTGTCATCCACACATGGTTGTGATCAGACCCTCGTGACACACGTTTGCTCACTGCATGAATCAGCTCTCGAGCGGCGAACAGACGTTATGCTGCTCTACTTTGATGTGTTTCACCAGTCTGTGTTCTTATCACTGCGGGCAAAAGTTCACGCTATTCGTGTAGCTCAAAGGTCAAACAGATATGACCCGGTTCACACTATAGCCTACAACACATAGTGGGGCATGTTGTCACACTATACGGGGTAAAGTGTCTCCATGGGAACTTGAGAGGAATAGCTGTTTTTTATGAATGCAGTATAAAACATCTTCCACAACATATGTTTAAAAGAAATTGTAGTGACTAAATTACACAACACAACATAAACGTGACAACTTGCCCCTATCAGAGAAAACAGTTCAAATTAACCTAAACTTTTTGGTTAATTTTAATTTAAATATTAAAATCATCCAGTTTTAATTTAAAATGTATTAACATAATCGCAAATCAAATGTCAAATAAATATAATAACCAGTTTTAAAACGCAGCCTATACTTAAACAGACACACGCACGCAAACATATATCAAACACGAGATTATGCG